TTGGCGTTATGGAGCCGATCAAGTGCGTCGTCTATTCGTGGGAGAGGATACACGTCCTTTCTTGTGATTTTGTTCAGGCGGCGATAATCGACGCAGAAACGTAGGGTCCCATCCTTTTTCTTCACTAACACCACGGGGGATGCCCATGGGCTCTTGGACGGCTGGATAATGTCATCCCGCAGCATTTCATCAACTTGTCTCTTCATGGCCTCACGTTCTCGCGTCGAAACCCTGTACGGACTCTGACGGAGTGGTCTGGCATTTTCTTCGGTTATGATGCGATGTTCGTGATTGGGGTCTGCCGAATTTTCGATGACGACGAAAAGCAATCTTCGTATTGCAGAAGCAGGGCCTTGAGCTGCTCTTGCTTATCGTTCGGAAGTCTGGGATTGACGTCGAAAGCTATGGGAGGGGCTTGGTTCCTCTGAGCAGGTTCCGCAGAATCGGCGAGGGCGAAAGCACTGGTGGCTTCGACAATTTCTTCGATGTATGCGACCGTTGTTCCTTTGTTCACATGTTTATACTCATTGCTGAAATTTGTGAGCATAACTGTTGCTTTGCCTCCCCGCAACTCTGCAATTCCTCTTGCGACGCAAATATTTCGGGTGACCAACAGATGCTGACTGCCTTCAACGACGCCTTTGAAGTCAGGTGATTCAGGAGCGCCGACTGAAATAATGACGCTTGAGCGAGGCGGAATTGTGACTTGTTCTTCCAGCACATTCAAGGCATGGTGTCCAGACGGCGTGCGCGGGCGGGTAGTGCTTCTTCTGTGGATAACGTTATCGACTTTGTTTTTAGGTTGATGACAGCACCATGGAGGCATAAGAAGTCCATGCCAAGGATGACATCTCTCGAGCAACGCTGTAGGACTATGAAGTCTGTAGGATAAATACGGCCGTTAATGGTGACTCTCGCTGTGCAGATTCCTGCAGGCGTTACGAGATGACCTCCGGCTGTGCGGATTTCAGGGCCTTTCCAAGCTGTCCTAACTTTCTTTAACTTCGCGGCGAACGACCCACTGATGACAGAATAGTCGGCTCCAGTATCGACGAGAGCGGTCACACTGTGGCCGTCGATAAGAACGTCGAGGTCGCTAGTTCGCCGTCTCGCATTAGAGTTAGGGCGTGGCGTCGGGTCACGGCTGCGTCGGCTTGTTCCGCTGCTTCCATGTTGCGTCGTCAGGCCACCTTCAGTAAGTGAGCTTTCGCCGTCAGGGCTTTGCCTGGTTGGCGTTGTGTTCGGAAAGCTCCGTCGCGGCGTCGTCGTCGTCGGAGGATCTTCGGTAGTTCGTCGCACAGCAACCGCACCTCCACCGGTTGCTGCCCTTAGTTTCCCGGATACGGGCTAGGAGACCGGCCCCGCGTTGGGCCAGAGTACTGTCGGTGGTGCGGTGACGTGCGGCGGCTGGGCGACGGCGAACGCGAAGGGCTTCGTGGTGTCCACCGAGATCCTGTCAGGTAGTCGGCGATGTCACGTGGGCGTTCTCCTGGCTGTGGGCGCGGTGCATTGACGGCGAAGCCACGCAATCCCATCTGTCGGTACTGGCAACGGCGGTATGTGTGTCCGGCCTCGCCGCAGTGGTAGCAGAGCGGGCGATGGTCAGGGGTGCGCCAGACGTCAGTCTTCCTCGGTGCACTGCGCTGGGCCGCTGGCGAACGGTATGACGTCGGTGGGGGTGGTGGCGGCGGTGGCGTCTGTCGACGGAAGTGCGATGGGGCGGCGGTTTGGCGTGGACGGGGAGGAGCGTTGTGGCGCAGTGCAGCGGCGTAGCTCATAGCTTCCGGCTCGGGCAGCGGTGCGTGGGGAATTTGAAGCGATTGCCGAACTTCTTCTCTCACAATGTCGGCGATCGAATCCACTTGAGGTTGCGCCGAAGGCAACAGTTTTCGCAGCTCTTCCCGCACGATCGCTCGGATCATTTCACGCAGGTTGTCGGAGTCACTGGCTTGAGCAGCAGCGCATTCTGGAGTCAGGCGACGATTATATTGTCTGGTGCGCATGTCCAGGGTTTTTTCGATGGTGGTCGCCTCGGATACAAATTCTTGGACGGTGTTCGGTGGATTCCTCATTAGTCCCGCGAAAAGCTCCTGTTTGACTCCTCGCATGAGGAAACGAACTTTCTTCTCCTCAGGCATGTCTGGGTCAGCGTGACGAAATAGGCGGGTCATCTCCTCTGTAAAAATTCCAACTTTTTCGTTTGGTAGCTGTACCCGGGTCTCTAGTAGAGCAGCGGCCCTCTCTTTGCGAGCGACGCTCGCGAACGTTTGAAGGAATGCGCCGCAGAAAACATCCCACGTTCGGAGCGTGGACTCCCGATTTTCGAACCAGGTCCTTGCGGTGTCTTCCAAATAGAAGAACACACGACGCAGCTTTTCTTCATGGTCCCAGTGGTTGAGGGCGGCCACACGGTCGTATGTCTCCAGCCAGGACTCCGGGTCTTCGAACGATGACCCATGGAAAATTGGTGGTTCCCTGGGTTGATGCATGACCATCGTGGGCTGGGACGCTGCGGTTGTCATTGTCGCTGCAGTCGCGGTCATGGCCTTCGTCTTCCGCGCCTTGTCTGGTAGAAGCCCGTACTCCGGTGGTAGCCCTTGCTGTCGGCGGCTTGTTCGCTGCTCCTGGTTGGTGTCGGTGTCTTCTCCGCGACGTGGGCTGGGTTCACGGCTTGACGGGGGCGTCCGGTACATGAACGAAGCAGCACCTCCACCAGATGTCACGGGGTCGTGACGTGGCCGAAGACAGGAGACTTCGTGTTAGGATTTAACTGTTTATTTGGGCGAACCTGTGCCCGGTAAACTGAAAGTCCAATTACAGCAGCAGTCTCGCACAGATAGCAGTCTCGGACTGATAGCGGCGAACGGAGCGTCGGCCTTCGATCAACCACTGACAAGCGGCGAAGCGCGTCGGCATTTATACTCCCGCCGTCGAATGTTCTAGCATTATCGCTGGCGGTGGCGTAGCTTCCAGAACAATCTGTACCGTTCGCACAGTGGGCGTGATCTTATCGAAATGATCTACTACAGTCCGGAACATTCTAGAAACCTGCAGGCGTGGTTTGCGCCGAGAATCGTGTGGTGTTTCGGAACGATAACAAAAACTTAGGAAATGAAACGTGGCACCAAATGAAACGTGGCACCAATTTTTCCACCAAATGAAAACCACGTGGAATTAAGCATGTAGAGGATGCAACTAAACCTAGCACCACGTCACAAATCTTGAGACTCTAAAGCTCATGCCCTAGCTGTGCAAATAGGCTATGGGCTCAATAAATATTTACAGCATACAGGCCAAGTAGCAGCAGCAACTTCTGCTAAAATTTGTTATACAAGTTTGTGCTCCTTATAAGAAATGCAAGTGATCAATAAATTTTTATAGCTATGTAATTTATCTATTACTTCTTTTATTTGGCAACATTCACTCAAATTCATCCATTTTTTGTTTACTGTTTCATATAACTAATAACATCTTAACATTATTTCAATCAGGTTCTTTGTATGGAAATATAGACATGTGCTTACAGGGCGCACTGTGCATTAGGTCCCCCTGATGTTATTTTATAAGCACATAAGTACCTAGATGGATGAATCTAAGTACATGAACATACTATTGCCCAAAATCAAACCCTTGAACTTGCATTTAGTAGTGATCCTAAGCGACCACAGCCAGACCAGTTATCATATTGACGAGACAGGTTGTCACGAGTAATGCAGCCTTGAGCAGTTGCATTTGATGGGAGCTAGACAGACAAACGCCCATGGTCATGTGATGCAGCAGTCTCATGGACAAGAAAATTCAGGCAGGCAAATCCAGGTGCTTCTTATTTGTTTCTTCATCTTAATGGCCTGCCAGATATTGGTCACCAATTTGAAAATGGGGCTGCTATGGCTGAATAGCATAAAGAGCCACACTGCATGTTCATGCAAGCATATGAAGTACGGACAGTTTTTTCACCGTTTTGCTGTACCTTTTGGGAGTGCCTTATTTGAGCCCAAGCAACAAAGTACTGCGTTTCATGGAGAACACAGACATACCTGACAATCACAACTCCTGAGTAACCATAACTTTGTGCCTGGAAAGTTCCTATATTACAATGCCCCCTTCCTTTCAGTTGGCACATTGAGTGAGCCTCCACAGTCACTGATTACGTGGGAATAAAAGAGGGGTAAGTGAGTAATAAAATTTTGAAAAACATGTCAGTGAGGTGAAACAATGTGTGAGTGGCTTCACAACATACACTGAATAAGCCAGGCCAGTTCATTTTACTAGCTGTATTTACAGAAAGACAGTGTGAGAAGTGATGTAGATATACGGGATTAGAATTTTGTGATTGCTCTATTGCTTTTCTGAACCAGTAATTGATATATAATCAAGATATCTTTCATGCAAGTAATCATTCTGTGATATGTAAAAATACAATATGAAGTAATGATATCTAAGTTTGCATTCCTAAAACTAAAGCTTCCTCGAGAAACAGCCCATTCTAATGGATCCATTCAGCTTTAGTGTCCTTTAACTTCTTGAGGCCACTAGCAAGAGTATGCTGAGAAAAGCCTATAGCCCTGTTATCACATCTCTTTGTTTTTTAGCTACTAAACTTGACGTCGAGCACTGACACAGTAACCAAACTGTAAATACATTCCAAGACAAAAAGGCATATTTGTGGTGTTTTCTTGCTCCACAACAACGATCATTATCTGTCTCGTATGCCTTCTTAGCATTATCCCCACAGGAGGTTACTTCCCAGTAATCAATAGTGTGCCGCTATTGGTGTGACGTAGCACTTCTGATGAAAACATAGCGAGAGCAAGTTTAAGGGAAAAAAACAAGCAAATTGGATGACGTATATTGTTGTGTTGCAGAAAGACACCACAAATACATCCATCTGCCTTAAAATGTATGGAGAATTATATTGCATATAAGGAATAAGCAACTAGAAACGAAGCTACTTATGCTAAAAATTTGTAAGCTGTGTGTACCCAGACTCATGAACTCACCATTGCCATATGCATATCCAAGCTGCCATGGGAGGAACCGTCCCCGTGGTTATGGGCATGTGAGGAAGCATCAGCTGATGGATGGTGCATAGGAGTACTCATTGTAGTTGCAGCTAAAGCTGCAGTTAGGACTGTTGCTATTGGCGATGATGTGTGGGGGCTTGCTGTAGTGAAGTTTGGTGGTAAGGCATGATGGTGGCCATCGTGGCCTGAGTGTGCGCCATGATCCATACCGTGACTCATTATTTTTTTTTGCCTGTAATTAATGTAATGTAGAAATAAAGTTACATTTTAGCAGATATAGGTGCTACGACAAAAGCAAAGAAAAAATTCTTATTGCCATTGAAAGGAGAAATAAAATTTTGCTTAAAATTTTGCATGCTATTTGCATCACCTAAATGATCACAACCTTTGACAAAATAACACCATCAACCATTAAAAATGTGCTTTTGTTGCATAATGCAGTGAGTAAACCCTTGAAGCTTCAATTCTATGTAATTAAATTATTAGTGAGGCTGCATTTGTATAACTATTATGCAAAAGATAAACACACAAAGCAAACTCCACTTATCTGCCTATTTTTCCTTCTCATTAATCACAAACATCACTGTTACATTATATTTTATGAGGACTGAACACAGGGCAAGTTGGTAATACATGACTACAAAAACTGCGCAAAAAAGAGACAAGAACACAGAAGGCACACGCACAAGTGCAAACTATTACAATAACAATGTTACTGTAACAATAATTTAATAAAGTACAGCACTAAAATCTCAATTTCAGCACTACATACATCCATGATATGAGACTGATTAATGCTTGTTCTATTGCACAAGTGAAACCGCTATTGCAAATGACCATAACCACAGTCACACTGCCTAATCATTTTATTTTAATATGAATTGCAAAAATGAAAAATAAAAAAAAGGATACAGCCAATTAGCAGTGCTTTGTAACTGATTTAACAAAAAGAAAAAGAAATCCTTCTGAAATCACTCGTATCAAAGCTCCTCCGACAGCATCAAAGTTTGATTCAAAGTAGTACAAGGTTCACCAGATAAGTTGTAGCAGGTAAAAGTGTGCTGTCATGCAGGCAAATGCAACAATGGTCACAAAAGAACACATTCTACTCATGTGAAAAATTTTTTCAGGAGTTTCTTATTGTTAGTTTCTGAAGTGCAGGTGCGAATGCATTTCTGTGAATCTGCCATCACCAACCTGGCAGGTTCAAAATTGGCCACAAAATGATTAAGGCATACAGTGAATCGATTAGGCCTCAATGATTCTGCTGGCAAAGAAATTCATATTATTTAAATAAAATGTAGAAAAATCACAGCAATATTCAAATTGTTAATATAGGCTCATAGGAGCCTACATTAACAAAACTGGCTTGTTCAGCATTCTGGCACTATCATGCACCATAATTCCTGCATTTAATTCCAAAAGTGTATTGAGGGTCACTGCTGTGGGCCAGCGAAAAAAAACTGGAGCTATTTCTGACTCACTCAAGAAATATATTTTGCACTTAGGCCTCACTCAGGCTCACTCAGAGAAGTTTTTCCTAGCTGGCCTTAATCACACTAACTCACTAAAGATTTTCACAGCTGGATTCAGTTGGACTTGGACTAATAGCTCGATCCGAGTCCAAGTGCATAAACTCACGAGTCCGTTAGCATACAATTAGCTTTTTTGACTACGGTGTCAATGCTCGTTAACATCATCTCATATAATCGGTGCTCAATGTGACACCTTTAAATCTTGTACTTTAACATAAAGTCACCAGTGATTGCTACTCAGTAAGGACATTTTATTGAAAGACTTGAGTCACACGAGACATTCTTATGGAGAACTTCCTGTGTAAGATTTTGTGGAGGGGAGAGGAATGAATGCATCCACCACCCTTTTGTTTCTGTACCCCAAGCCTGTGATCAATCAATATTGAACAAGTGTACGAATGCTAGTGCATTGAAGTGTGTGTGAGCAGATTTGAGTATAAACGTCAGTCAACATAAAGCTGATCGCAATGCCGAAGTTGAGTAGACAGGACTACAGGTCAGCACGAAAAAATTGGAGCTCATTCAGACTTACTCAAGAAATACATCTTCTCTTTAGGGCTCACTTAGACTCGGACTCATAAAAATTTTTCTCCACCGGACTCACTCAGACTCACAAAACATTTTTTCAACCAGACTCAACCGGACTCACTTAGACTTAGACTCACAGCTAGATTTGAGTCTCAGTAAGTAAACTCATGAGTGTGTTTGCCGATCTACGATTAGCTGAACTTTCTTCGACCGTTTTTAGTTTCTGGTTTCTCACTGAACCAATTTTTGTCACCTCAGTTACATGTTTTTCTTACATCATACGGCACATGATAACCACATCACAGAGCCAACACTAAGCAAGCTTGATGGCTATTACAGATACAGTTGCACACATGATTCTGTGGACTAGAGTTGAATTCAAACTGAGATATTTCAACGCTGCTTTTGGGAAAGGGCGCTTGAGGTTAGGTGCATATAAAGAGGGTGTCGAGATCCCCTTGATATCACCTACCAAGCTAATATTCCTACTGTAGCACAAATGTACAGGTGATATAGACTGGCTTCCTTTTTTGATATTCCTCCTGCATTTCTTTGAAACCAAGTAACTACATATTTCAAGTTTAAGAGTGGGAAAAATGAAAAAAAGTTTGATGTTGATCAGTCACCTTAATTTTTTAAATAGCAAACTTTGTCAATTTTAATTTTGTGTATAGCTGAGCAAAACAGAGTGTTCTAACTCAACAAAATCTGCACAGGTATTTCCACACAGGCAAGAATAACAATGATTGTACTAAAAATGCAACAATGTTTTTGTACGATGAAATGCATTGGGATTTCCCCAAGACACAAAAGGAAAAGCGATATTGCAAGATACGTGCAAACATGCTGCTCTGATTGCAACTTCCCAGAGTTGTGTTACAGGTGAAGTATGCAAGAAAAGGATTTATTTAGATGAGCTGACATGCACGTGGGCCTTATAGAAGAATGAACTAGTTGGAAGTTCAGTTCATGAAGAAAAGAAAAAAAGCATATATATATATATATATATATATATATATATATATATATATATATATATATATATATATATATATATATATATATATATATATATATTGTTTGAACCTCAAAGGCTCAGTTCCTGCCCAGGCCAAGTTATCTTTTCACCCGCTTTTCTTTCTTCACATGTACATGACTATTCACTCTAATATCTTCCCCTATACTTTCCTTGGAATTATGATCATTGTCTATATATATATCTGTGTGTGTGTGTGTGTGTGTGGAGAGAGAGAGAGAGACTGAGTGAATGAGTGAGAAAGCAACAGTTATTGAAAGAAGTTTTAATGTTTACTACAAAACCTTTACTGTGCCATTCCCGTGTGTGCGCGCGAAATGTGGCATTGTAAACTGGTCAAATAATGTGCTAATAATTACTTGGATTGTTAAACACGACGTCACATGTTCTTGAGGGAGGTACTGGCGCGCTGAGTCTCGTTAGGTTAAGAAGTACTTCTTTTGCAATCGCTTAATGTCTCATGTCTATAACAGTAATGCATACTAAATGAAAATAAGTGTAGAATTCAACAACGCCTTACAATACACAAATTAAATAACTAACCAACGACTCGAAGCACCCCAATTGAGAGCCGTATTTCCTACATGTTAGCACGCGTAACCAGAAGCTTAAAATTATTTGTTCAACATACTTGAGGCAGACAATCGGAAGCCACTCCTCAGATAAGCGCCTGCCCCTATTTCTTTGTCATGTCAACAACCGGTTTCCCCGAAACGCACAATATCAGTTTCGAGCGTCGCGAAGGTCACAGATAATCAAGCTGGTCAGAATTATCCTACAAAACACTTATCGCCCTGACGCCTACTGCTGGCCACACGAATATTTCGAAGTTCGATTATCCATGAACCCCATGTTCACAGCTTCAATGCAACATATGTTGTTGCACCGGCAGTACAGTTATGCCGGTCAGCCTGCCTACAGTATGTGAACGCCACTTGTTGAGTTTTTTTTTTCTCGTTCTAGTAAAAATGACAATCAGTACATTCACGACTTTGAAAAGGCAGCGTTGCACGAAGCGATAGCCGCGCCAGTACATTCGTAAAATATATTGCGGTAGTAATACTGGTGCATTAATCGTAACATATATCTGATGCAAAGCGGATGGCATGCCTGTCGGTAAACAAGGAAAAAACAAAACAAAAGCGGAGTAAGGAACGACCAGGCGCTGAAGGACTCACCTTAATGCACTTTCTGTGAATTACTACTTCTTGGATTACAAAAAAACGTGCGTAGCAAGCCAAAGTATGCAGCCAAAGTATACACAAGCGAAGCGCACTATGCACAACACTGGTACGGTATCGTACACATTCCCTGCGCTGATAGAAAATTATACGTGTCCTACAACAGCGACATCCTTGGACTGCCAAGGTCAATAAAAACGTTTTCGTTTCCAGAATGAACTCCAGATGGCGCAAAAATAGTTAGCGCAACATACATTGTTCATGGCAACTTTTCTACCACGACAGCAATAATACTGCGCGATATATAATTTCTAGGCACTGACGTGCCGTATTTACATGTTCAAAACGTCATCTAAGCCTATGCCACCCACGCATAGTGCACGGAGCCTTCTTGGGTAGATGCATTCATTCGTTGTGAAGATGGTAGGTGTTTTGTGGTGGCGCTACGTGCTGTAGTGATGTATTTTTAATAGCGCCTGAGTTGAAAAGCCAACGCTTCGCTTTTAGGAGGCACAACTGGCGTAGCTGTTAAACTACAGCAGAATCAAAAGTTAGGGTAGTTGGATATGCATGGTATAACTGTCATTCAAGTGCACGAATAAACAGAAAGGAAGAGAGGACAAGCGTCCTCTCTTCCTTTCTGTTTATTCGTGCGCTTGAACGGCAGTTATACCTGTTAAACTACATATCCAACTGTTTAAGCGCGCATATATATGACATAACAATGTTCTCATTTCTAAATATGAATGCAGAGAGACAGAACCCTCGGCCTGGACAAGCAGGTGCGCCTCGTCAGAACTCCCGCGCCAAGTTGGCTGTTTTACAGGCCGCGAATGCAGCGAAAAAAAAAAAAAACATTTCGTTCGCCCCATTCGCAGCCGCCGATGATGGCGGTTTCGTTTCACGTGAACTAAAAATGTTCCGCGATTTTCGCTCTGCGACAGGAGCGGCGAGTTCTTGCCACCATTTTTGTGGCAGAGACTGCAGAATATTTCTAATGTAACGTAATGTAATGATCTGTGTATTATATCAGTTTTTATGAACAGTAACGAAGGGCCCGCTTGTTTCGTCATTCGAGAACACTTTCCAATCGGAATTTATTTTAAAATGCACAGCATCGGTCACTACCAAAACAAATACGTCAACCCAATTTCGACAGCTTGTCTGGTCCGGCCTTATTTTCACGTGTCCCGACCAAAAATTGCTCCCACCGCTGCGATCAGAGCAAAAATATCCAACACACTGGTAGCTCGCCGCAGCGGGAGTGAGCTGTCCTTTTTTTTTCCACTGCGAGCGAATTCGCAGCCTGAAAATTGCTACCTCACTCTTACAAAGCTCAGCACACCTTGCAGTGCCATATTATGGTCAATAAAGGCCAAAGTTGTCTCTTCCGGAGTCGTCAAACATAGTGTATAATGGCAAGTCTTCCAAGAGGAGACGTCAGTTTCAAGATTATGTTACCTGTGTTTCTGCTTTTGTTGTTATAAGGCCGATAGAGAGAATGAAAATCAACGTTATACGAGAAGAAGGCGAGGGATGCCCCTCAAGCCATCTTTGACTGGTCGTTTCGGAGCACTGAGAGAGAGAGCTTGAGGAGAGGAGAAGACGCAACTTTCTTCTATCACAGGAGAGTGCTCTCTGAAAAGACTAGCCGAAAGACAGTAATGGTTTGCCGTTAGCGTGATAGCGGAGGTTAAGGAAATGGCGTTACCGTGCAGAAAACGTTGGTTGCGGACCGCTTCTAATAGTTTAACGGGATAGCGTTTACGTGCCCCAGCTGGGGTGATGGCGTCACCTATCAGAGGGTTTAGAAGTAAGAACAGTGAAAAGGAACATAAAACGAGAATATCTGACTGTGTCACCGCTTGAAGCATTTTTACAAGTTTATTTTAGTAATATTAAAAGTAAATAAATATGAACCACAGTCCAAACGCGAAAACATTCATGTTGCCGATTTATTTACATCGATCTTGTAGTTAGGTCTAGACACGATCTAAATGGGAAGCTATCTCAAAAACTACGCCAACTTATCCGTAATACTCGGTCGTCGAAGCTAACAGAAGGCAAGCGAAGCCACTTCAACCAGTAGTTTGCTGTGAACAAAGTGAATCTTTCAACAACTACGCCAAAATCACTTAGAAGCGGGCGTCCGAGAGCGCCGCTATCAGGGGCGTAGCCAGAAAATTTTTCTCGGGGAGGGGGGGGAGCGTTCACACAGACCCGCCGGAGGGGGGGGGGGGGCACAGGCATCAGCTTTTTTCTGTGACATCACTATCGGCGGTAGTTTAAACAGACAGTGCACATGTACATCAAGTCATGACATTCCGCCTCTCCCCATGCGTATGGTTGTGAAGGGAGTTAAAGTACTGGAAGAATGATTGATTGATTGATACGTTGAGTTTAACGTCCCAAAACCACCATATGATTATGAGAAATGTCGAAGTGGAGTGTTCCGGAAATTTCGACCACCTGTGGTTCTTTACCGTGCACCCAAATCTGAGCACATGGGCCTACAATATTTCAGCCTCCATCGGAAATGCAGCCACCGCAGCCGGGATTCGATCCCGCGACCTGCGGGTCAGCAGCCACTAGATCAGATGATTGATTTGTGGGGTTTAACGTCCCAAAACCACCATATGATTATGAGAGACGCTGTAGTGGAAGGCTCCGGAAATTTTGACCACCTGGGATTCTTTAACGTGAACCCGAATCTGAGCACACGGGCCTACAACATTTCCGCCTCCATCGGAAATGCAGCCGCCGCAGCCGGGATACGAACCCGCGACCTGCGGGTCAGCAGCCGAGTACCTTACCCACTAGACCACCGCGGCGGCGCCACTAGATCAGCAGCCACTAGACCACCGCGGCGGGGCGTGCCTGCTATGCTGTCGTGCTGCGTCTTCCCACGCTACCTTCGCGTCGGTGTGGTAAAGCAGTTCGAAACGGAGCCTCGTAAATGGCGTGATTTGGGAAGTCGCGTCACGGAACCCTTTTGAATTTACTTCTCCCAACAACTTCTCCGAGCAACACTCGCTCACTGAATTCCGTGCCGACTATTTGTGCCCTCGCGATCTCCGACGACAGTGCAGCTCTGGCCGACTGGACTGGTCCTACGCCACCTCCTGACGCTGGTCCCCGACGACGATGACAGCGCAGCTCTGGCCGACTGGATTAGCCCTACACCATCTCCTGACGCCGACAAGAGCTCTCTCTCGCCAGTGGGGCTCCGTCCTCGGACTCCAGCAACCGTGTTAGGGTGGCTAGAACCCTAACCGTGTCCATCTTTCCTGTCTTCTCCTTACTTCCGTCGTTCGCTGTCCCTGCGCCTCGCTCTTTCCTTTCTCTCTCTCTATCTCTTTACCTTTAATCCTATCCTTTTAATCTCTTCTCTACCCCCATTCCTCGTGAGCTACTGTTGAGGTGTCCTCCCCCTGAGAGGCAGTTACAGGGCTCACTTTTCTCTTCTTTTCATTTAAAATCACTCCCCCCAGCCTTCTCGCCGCACCACTGAATGGACTATAGTCTTCGAAAACGCATTATTGCGGTGACCAACCCGATCGGAGAAGACATCGTTAATCTCTGTTAAGCGTAGATGGCGTAGTCCTCGTCGGGGCGAAGTGCGGGGCGAAGTCAAGGACGGTTCTGCTTACAAAGAGGAATGAGAGGTATGCGCAGAATGTTTTTGCACATTCATTATTACATTTAGGTTTTGCTTACTTTGCTTAGCGAATTGCTTACTGTCTTAGTCTTACTGTCGAAGAAAACCGCGCTTCTACATGTATGCCGAAGCGCTGTTCTCTTCCGAGGTTGTTGTACATTACTTTCGTTTTCTGCAGATTAATTTTAAGACCTACCTTTCTGCTCTCCTTTTTCTAACTCTGTGATCATGAGTTGCAATATAGGTAATAGTGCACTTGAAGTTGTAAAAGAAGACGTCTACTCCGAACAGGTAATAACCGTGGAGCCAAACCACGAGATTGAAGTAACTAGAAGAATAAGAATGGGGTGGAACACATTTTGCAAGTGCTCTCATATCATAACTGGTAGATTGCCACTATCCCTCAAGAGGAAGGTATATAAAAGCTGCATCTCGTCGGTACTTATCTATATATGGAACAAAAACCTGGAGACTTACAAAGAGGGTTCAGTTTAAATTGAGGAAGACGCAGAAAGCGATGGAGAAAAAAATGATAGGTGTAACATTGAGAGACAAGAAGAGAGCAGGGTGGATCAGGGAACAAACCGGGCTTAAGGTTAGTTGAGGTTAGATAGTTGAAATCAAGAAGAGGAAATGGACACGGGCCGGACATGTAGCGCGTTGGCAGCATAACCGCTGGTCAATAAAAGTAACTCACTGGATTCCCAGAGAAGGCAAGCGCATAAGGGGGAGACAGAAAGTTAGGTAGGCAAATGAGATTAAGAAGCTTGCGGGTATAAAGTGGCAGCAGCAACCACAGGACCGAGTTCACTGGCGGAACATGGGAGAGGCCTCTGTCCTGCAGTGGACGCAGTCAGGCTGCTTGCTGCTTGCTGCTACTGCTGCTGCTGCTGCTGCAGCTACTGCTGATGCTGCTGCTGATGTTGATGATGATCCAAAAACCACGATATGACTACGAGAGACGCCATAGTTGGGTGCTCCGAAAATTACCAGCATTGATGTATGCAGATGATATAGTATAGCCTACAACAAGGAAGATATGCAGGGATTGATAGACACCTGTGGTAATGAGGGAGATAGGTTAAATTTGAAGCTCAGCAGAGAAAAATCGGCAATCACGATTTTTAATGATAACAAAGGCAGTGAACTTAAGATACAGGAAGTCACGCTAGGAATAGTGGATAAATACAAATATTTGGGCGTATGGATGAATAACGGGGCTGAGTACCTAAGGGAACACGAAATATACGTAACGACTAAAGGAAACAGGAATGCAGCGGTGATGAAAAATAGGGCACTGTGGAATTACAATAGGTATGATGTTGTGAGAAGTATTTGGAAAGGTGTTATGGTCCCGGGTTTGACGTTCGGCAATCCGGTCTTTTACCTGAAATCAGAGGTTCAAGCAAGATTGGAAATTAAATAACGTGGCATAGGTAGCCTCTTTTGGGAGCACACGGGAATACCCCAAATAAGGAGGTACAGGGTAACATGGGATGACCATCG